CCTGTCCTGATCCATAGGGTTCTTCTCCCCAGCAAGCTGTTCCATTATCTTTCAAGGGATGGAGGTGAGGCTGACAGGCCTATAGCTACATGGGTCCCCCTCGTCCACCCATCAGAAGGACGGAACTCGGAGCCTCTTGCCTTCCTGTCACTGATTCACAAAAACCCTGTAGCCCCCCGCAAACTGCTGTCGTGTCCTGGTCTGAGCCTGCTGCAAGGACAAATTACAAGGCTCCTCACCCCACACCTTTCCAAACCACCTTGCTGCTTCCTGCAGAAACCGTGCCGGAGCATCTCTCGGTGTTAAGGGGCCACAGGACTGCGTTAGGTGCGAGGGAAGGGCTCCGGAGCAAGCAGCAGCGAACAACAGGACAGAAAGGTCTTGTGTGTCATTGCCCTGAAGAGATCAACACCAGGGGATGTGACCAAACGATACCAACCTTCCCTTCTGCGGCTGCAGGACTTTATCCTTCAGGGACTCATCCAGCTGGTCCAGGAATGGCGTGATATCAACGGGCTCCTCCACAATGGTTTCTTTGATGGGATGAAACCTGAACTCCCTTTTCTTCCCTGCAACACAGAAAGCAACAGTGGAACAGTCTGTTTTCCCAAACATCTAAGAAGCACCACAGGAAATCTCAGTCTGTTGTGTGGGGCTGTGGGGACAGTCACCCCCCGGGATAAGCAGCATTCCCCAGATCTTGCCTTCATCCCTTAAAGACAAGTCCAGGTCTCTAATATCCAGGGAGCAGGATGATGGGATGGAATCCAAACACAGGAAGTGTCCAGAACCATGGTTCCCCTTCAGCCCAGTTTCCAAACCTAATGCTTTGCCTCTCCTTCAACATGCTCAACAAGCGTAGTGAGCTTGCAAGCCCACACTCCACCCCAGGCGCAAACGCTTGTGTTCAGGACTCTCAGGATGAGATACCCCAACTGCTCTTCCACACCCTCATCCTCCAGGCTCATTCCACGCCACAGAAATGAGTTGCAGCAGAGTCCAGAAGCACCAGGGCCAAGGCAGAAGCACTCGCAAAGAAGCTGCCACTAAGGGATGGGACAAGGTGGCTGATGCTCTCTGCAAAGCTCTTCCCTGCACATGACTTTGGAGCCCGCGTCCCTCTCGGGGGCCCCAAGCAGTCGGCAGGGTGCCGACGGGACTACTGAAGACACTGCTAGAGCACTGTCCTCCATCCTGGGCCTGTGGCCCCTCTCCATGGCAGGGCTAACCCCCCAGCACGGCAGGAAGCCCACAAGAGTCCGACCACCAAGGCCAGGAACAGCTGGAGATGCCTCCAACTCCAGAAAGCGAGCAGAGGGGATGCTGGCCTTGTGCAGGCCTCTCAGCCCTGTGGCTTCGAGAGGGAGCGAATGTAATGGAAACCGTGTGGCTGAGCAATTAGAGGCCTGAGCCTCATTAGCAGCTGCCTGAGAACAGAGACACCCTGTTCCTAAAGAAACCATCCGGCACAGCGCCTGTCGCAGGGATTCCCAACCGTGCAGCGCAGCAGGGCTTAAGACTACTCAGACATCCAGAGAGGACCATATAGGTGGAGGAAGTGCCATGTTCCTCGAAGGATCTAAGTTCTAAAGAATATCCAGGCAAGGAGATGAAGCCAAGCAACCTTTTCCTTTGAGCGCAGATCCGTACTGGATCTGTTGAGTCCGGCTCTCAGGGACTGGGAAGCACCACAGCATCGGCCTCAGCACCCTCTCTTGCAGAAGGAAACCTGGATCTCAAGAAGGGGATCAACCTCAAGCACAGCAACTCCCGCTGCTCATGGGAAAGGGACTTTGGAGAGAACTGTGCTTACAGCTGCTTTTCTGGGAATCGTCCAGCACAAAGGCAAGGTGCTCGATGGACCGCGGGGAATGTAGAGGCAAACGGCAGCTCGTCCCCCTGCGGCTGACCCCACTCCTCACCTTTGCTGTTCAAGTCGTCTTCGTCGTCACTGAACGCAGCCTCAGCATTGTCGTAGCAACTGTCATCTTTCTCTGACATAGGATTGTCCATCTCCATGGAAACAGGTTCCTCAATTTTGACTGCAAAAATATAGGCAAAGGTGTCAGAGCAGAAAGTGTGGTTACGACTACCAGTCCCCGAGAAACAGGCTGCGGCAAGGAGATACAAGTGCTTTGGGAAGGGAACAAAGAGCCTGGATCCTGGAAAACTCAAAGCTGGGGAAGGGCCCTCCCAGTGAGGCCATTTAACCATCCCTACTCGGTGCCAAGTGTGGCAGGACCGGGTCATTCTCCACCCAGGCTGCTCCCCGGCCCTCGGGCTGGATCCCTCAGCCAGGCCAAGAGCAGAGCCCGCGTCCCTGAGCAGAGCCAGAGCTTTGCCAGCTCTGCCAGGAGAAGCCCGGGGCAGTGGGGTGTGTTGGTTAGGGGATCCCTTCAGCCAGAGCCAATGCAATGGGAAAAAAGCCATTGCAGGCACCATCCCCCAGCAGATGTGGCAAAGCGGCTGCGCTCCCCTGTTAAACAGGGGTTAGAAATGCTTGCTCTGGGCCCAAGCCAATGCTGTTCATCAACCAGCCTACGGAGAAGGAAGGCTAAGTAGCCCCCAGGGAGCAGAGAGCTGGGGGCAGTGTGCATCTCTAGTGTACGGCAGGGCTGAGGCGAAGGGAGGCCACAACCAAGCAGAAAGACGAGCACCCAGAGCCCTCCTCTCCCCAGCGTCCCACTCCAACCCTCCCCACGGCTGTGGTTGCTGCAGCAGAACCGGGGAGAGCCCGGTCTCTGGGATGGCAGCCCCCGCCGCAGACCCCCGCCGCCACCCCTCCTGCTGCCTACCTTCCATGGGCGGCGAGGGAGAGCTGCAGAACTCTGGGAATTTCTCCCTCAGCATGGCACGGAGCTCTTTGTCCAGCTTGGGGTTGTCGAAGAGAGGAGCGAGATGTCTGTGTCAGGGGGTGGGAGGGAAAAGGGTGACAAGGAGGCAGGATACGGTGCCCGACACCGTAGCTTCACCTCGGGGGACGTGCGAGGGGGTCTCATGGGGTTGTCGAAGAGAGGAGCGAGATGTCTATGTCAGGGGGTGGGAGGGAAAGGGATGACAAGGAGGCAGGATACGGTGCCCGACACCGTAGCTTCACCTCGGGGGACGTGCGAGGGGATCTCCTTCCCTAAGTCAGGGCTTTGGTTCCCCTTATGAACCACAAGCTCCCAGCTCCCTCCTTGCTGCACCTCAACTGGGGCTCCCCCGGCTTGTCACCGGTAACGGAATCATACATCACAGACCATGGAACCATGGTGACCTGGTGCCATGGAAACATGGCAACATGGAAACACAGAACCAGCGAACCAAGGAACCGCTAAGGAACCACTGAGGTTTGGGTTGGAAGGGACCTTAAAGATCATCTAGTTCCAACCCCCCTGCCCTGGGCAGGGACACCTTCCATAGCCCAGGGTGCTCCAAGCGTCATCCAGCCTGGCCTTGGGCACTCCCAGGGATGGGGCAGCCACAGCTTCTCTGGGAACCTGTCCCAGTGCTCCCCACCCTCTGCGGGAAGAATTCCTTCCTGATGGCAGCTCTCCCCCCACCCAGCTCTCCTGTAGCCCCCAGGCACTGGAAGGGGCTCTAAGGTCTCCCTGCAGACGGGTCTCCCAAGGGGTCCTGTGTCACCCGGAGGCACGTGGAAGGGGAGAAGAGGTCTCACCTCCTGGGAGGGGAATGTGGCTGCTGCAGGAGCTGTGCGCAGGCTGGAGCACCATGAGCACGGCTGCTCCGTTCAGCTTGGGGACCAGAAAGGGCTTGGGGACATTTTTGTTCATCTGAGGCCGAGCGGACACGGCCTTCTGTACCCACCCATCCCCTTGCTTCACGGAACAGCCCCTGGGAGCAGCCCCAGTGCCGTAAAGACACAACTGTGGCTTCTTCCGTGGTTCATCGGCAACACAGATGCCCCCGCAGCTCTCCCGGAGCCGGGCGGTCGTTTGGACCAGGCTGCTGAGAGCCAGGAGAACCCGCGCACAGGAACGCCACGAGCGCAGCACAGTTCAGGGCCGTCTTACGCAAGGACTCGCTTCTCCACAATGTGGGTGAGGGAGTTGAACACGCCTTGCCGGACGTGAGCCTCCAGCGGCGGGTAGAAGTTGGAAATGATCTGAGAACCGGAGAAGAGCCGTGTTAGTGCCAGGAACCCTCTGCCCCCGTCGGGTCCGGGTCAGCTGTGGGACGAGCTCCTTGGGTCACTCGAGCACCACATCCCGGCTGCTCGTGACCCAGAGCGGCAGCGGGAGAGCTCCGAGTGCCGCATCGCGGGGACGGGGGACAGAAGGGGGACCATCCCGTCCCCCCGGCTTTTCTATCCCGAAGGGCCAGCCATTCCCCCGGGGCTGAGAGACACACACACACGCTGCCTCGTGAGCTGCGAGACGCTCTGGGGGTGGCCAGGGCCACGCTCCAAGCAGCAGCGACCGCTGCAGCAGCGGGGGAATACGAGCAGGACACCCTAAACCACATTCAGCTCTGTCCACACACACTCCTTCGCTTCGGGAAGGAGCGAGAGGACTCCTCCCTGAAATCTGGGTCATCCCGGCAACCTTCCACCTAGTTCCTCTGCCAGAAGCTGCTGTTGGACTCGGGCAGCCCGGGGACGGGAGCGCACTGGGCCTGAGGAGGGAAATGATGCAACTCGCAGCTCTTGTGCCACGGGAAGACTCTGCTTCCAAGAAACACCTTTCAGCGCTCCCTGGGACCAAATTACTGGAACCGGCAAGTCTCGGCACGGCTTCCCCCAGCATCGAGGGGCAGGACCAGCGCTGCTCCCTGCCCAAGGAGGGCTGTCCTTTGAAAGGAGATGACGGGTCTGACTTGTCCCAAGCCACGGGGAGATTCCATCTGTCCTCAGGGAGGGACACTGGGCCAAGCTTTTCAAGAGGTTCTAAAGGGAACCATTCAGAAGCCCAGCAAGGAATGATGCATGGACCAACGCTCCGACCTGCAGGAACGGCTCTGCATTTATCAGAGACCACGAGGACTCACCAAAGCGTCCGGTGGCCGGTTTTAGAGAGGCGGATAATTTGGCTGAGCGGCCGCGGCAGCGTGCCTGACAGCGCTCTTGGCAGGTCAGCAAGGGGAAAATCCCTCCTCGGTTTAGCAGCGGGAAGGGGAGGTTAGAAGGGCTGCCAGCAGATACCGAGCTGCTCCGCAGGCGCTTTGGCAATCGGGAGCCTCAGAGCAGAACTGATGCTGCACTGAGGAATGCGGGAAAAAACCCAAGGAGGAACAGCTTTTCTGGTTTGGGTTTTGGTTGGGGTGGTTTTCAGCTCCGAGGACTGGGCAGTGAGGTGACACTGTTTGCTGCTCCAGCATCACTGGCTCTAGGGATTCATGAATCCCTAGATTCATGCTTCCTGCGGGATGGAGAGGCAACAGGCCTTTGCCTGAAAACTCTCTGGGAATGAAGACATCGGTCCTGCCTGAGCCTGCATTACTGTCCCTGCCCTTGGTGAGCAGTCAGCACAGAGCAGGGGAGCAGGCTCTGCAGCTCACCAGCTCCTGTCCTGGTGGAGAAGGGAAAGCACCAACACGCTGGGAGTGCTCAGAGAGCACGGCTGAAGGGCCCAACCACCATCCCTATGGGAGCAGTGGGCTTCCACTCCTCGCCATGGAGACACACAAAGCTAAAACAAACCAGCCCCAGGGCCGATGGAGACCGGCCCGGTGGAGCCTGACCTCTGCGCTGCCGGTGGGTGTGAGCAGATGAGAGCTGCTGGTCCTCTGCTGACGCTGTGGAGGAGTCTCTCCATTCCGCCAGAGGCAGAGGGAATGCCTGGAGCCCAGCGGTTGCTTTCACAGCCCTCCCCACTCAACCCCTCATTTGGCAAGGCAGGTAACCCCCCCGCAGAGCGAGGGGCGGCTCACCCGGCACATGAAATCCAGCAGCGTGGCGGTGATGGCAGGGTGAGGCTTCATGGAGTGGTGCATCACCAGAATGGCAGGCTCTGGAAGGAGAGAGCGGGGAGCCCTGCTGAGAGCCCCACAGACACCCACAGCCCTGGGCCCCCTTGTTCCTACAGACCCAGCCTTCCGCCCCTGGGGTGCAGAGGGAACCCCCTTCTTTTGGTCACTGCACACCCTTGTCCTCACCCAGCTCCTAAACTACACTCAGGCTTTGAAAAACAGCCACAACCAAGGTCCCTGCAGCCAGGAGCTTCCGGCAAGGCCCTTGGCTGTCGGTCCTTGCTCACGGGCTCGGGGACAGCCCCGCAGCCAGGCAGGCTGCCTGCCCACAGGCAGGTTACGCTCCGGGGACAGCCACGACCTCAGGGATCTACCACAGATACCGAAGGCACGATTAAAAGTGGCTCCAGCTCTCCTGCAAGCCAGAAGATTGGGGGCAGGGGAGGGAAGTGATGTCCTTAGAGATAATCTGTTGGTTTTTCCCCACCACATCTCCCTACCTCTACCCGCTCTGGAAGCCTTCAACCCCTTCTCTGACCCCCCTCTACCCTCCCTGGGGCGTACCTATATTCATGATGCTGTCCTTCTCGGGGTTGAAGAAGAGCCAGTCGTAGAAAAGGGCCAGTTTGGCATTTGAAGCAGCAACGTTGGACTAGAGAAGGATAAAAAAAAAAATCACACCAACAGTCTGATGGATACAGTGCCCAGCCCCCAATCCCTCTGCATGTCCGATGCGCCGGGCCCTGCTGCTGCCAGGTGGCAGGGGGTGGCGAAGCTCTTCCCACCCTGCGGGATAGGGCAGAGCTGGATGGCGTTTTCCCAAGAGAGTGGGCAATTCTCGGGCAAACTTGCCTGCTCCGAAAGCAGCTCCGGCCAGGGCAGCGCGCAGAACGGCAGAGGCCAGGACTGGGAGGTACGAGCCCTGTGCTCTGCGAAGCGCAGCCTGGCTACAACCCCGTATCACCTATAACTGGGCCCCGCACGTCACTTGGCGTGATCTGCTGCGTGTGCACGGGCGCAGCAACAGCCGTTTCCTCAGCTTTCAGACTCTCCAGAGCTTCTGCTCCGTTTGACAAGTGCTGCGGATCGCAGTCCTTCGTGGGACAAGGGACAACGGGCCGGGCACAGAGAGTGGAAGCCAATGAGGCTGTAACGAGGAATCTCTCGCAGCCCGCTGGGACAGGAGAGGCCCCACACTGTGTAGACAGGCCAGAAACATAAATCAGAAACAAAGGGCTTGACGAGCTGAAAGCGAGAAGCTGAGGTTTACGCAGGGAATGCTGATCCCAAAGGATCCAACATGCAGCAGAGCCAGGACTAAAATCCAGAGCATAGAACAAAGCCCAGCGTCCTAACCACTGCTTTGCAGTGCTATCCTTCAGCTCAGCCAGCAAATTCCTCATCCCAAACTCCCCAGCAGCTTCCAGCCTCAGCAGGTTCCCCCTTTGTCCAGCAAGGGAAGGGATCCCAGGCCATTACGCAACCGGCTTTTGGGCCTGACCCTCGCAACTCACCGTGCAGGTGGTGAGCAGCCACCCGATGATGGCCCAGCGCGGGAGGATGTCCGAGCTGAGCACCTCGTTGGAGGGATGGACCACGCCACAGATGTAGCGTATGAGGTCGCAGCGCAGGGACTGGCTGTCTGGGGTGGACAGGTACTGCCGCTGGAACCAGTCCTGGTACCGCTTCTGCTGGCCAAACCGCACC